TTTTTTTTTAAATTAAGTTAAGAATTAACCGAGATTTTCACACAGATAAAGAAAAAAATGTGCTTTGAACATGATGTAATTGTTGTAAATAAGACTGATATATGTTGTATATAAGTTAGCTATTTTTTAATCTCAGGATATGAAATGTATATAATCATGTATCTATAGTATACAAGAACACGATGCAAATCCCTTAAGATAAGCCCGTGTATTATAAGTAGGTGTTTTGTACTCTAATTCTCACATATTATAACATGTATAACTAATAATCTTCGTCCTATACATTGTATGTTATAAAATGTTACTGTTAAAGAACATATTAAGTTTAAATCAATTTTTTTTTTAAACTCCAAGCATAGTTGCCGCTATATATATATGTTCCTTAGGTTAACCAAATAGTGCTCTTTACCTTAAGTTAAACAAATAGTACTCTTTATCTTAAGTAGTAATTCTAAATCCTAAACAAATAGTCCTCTTGTCCTTAAGACCTTTATTATGTATTTATATCGCTGTGATATCGCTATGGCGTTTACGCATATAGCGGACGTCGCTATAGCGAACTATTATGTGACGTCATAGTTTATGACGTCACAATATCTACTTCAAATAAACAGTCTGAAGAATATCTTTGACGATTTGTAAGCACTTAAGACCCTTTGTTGTGATTTTTTCTTCCTATATCATTTCTTTGTCCGTAAGGATCATTTTTCTGCTTTGATAATATGTATGGATATATATATACAGTCATGTAATCTCAAAATTAGTCTGCTATACACATGTATAGTTAAAATGGCATGTTGATTCTGATTTATTTCGATTAAGACAACCTACGTCTTGGTTATATATGTGATAAGAATAACGCACTCTCCAGTTGTTATTTTAACTCGACCTTCACTTCACTTATGTAAGTACAGAACAACACTGGTGATATCATTGACCTGCACTGAAAGTATTGCTATCTCATTATTTACTATGTTTACCCGTTACAGCTATACCTATACAACCAAACA